GAATGGGCCAATTTCGTCTTTTTTTATGGCTGAGTAGTATTCCATTGTGTATATATACCACATCTTCTTTATCCAATCATTAGTTTCTGGGCATGTAGGCTGGTTCCACGTCTTGGCTATTGTAAATAATGCTGCAATGAACATAGGGGTGCAACGGACTCTTGAGATATCTGATATCAGGTTCTTAGGATAGATACCCAGTAATGGGATGGCTGGGTCATAGGGTATTTCTATTTTTAACTTTTTGAGAAATCTCCATACTGTTTTCCATAGTGGCTGTACCAGTTTGCATTCCCACCAACAGTGTATGAGGGTTCCTCTTTCTCCACAACCCCTCCAACATTTGTCGTTCTTGGTTTTGGATGTTTTTGCCAATCTAACGGGGGTAAGGTGATATCTTAGTGTAGTTTTGATTTGCATTTCCCTGATGATTAGCGATGATGAACATCTTTTCATGTGTCTATTGGCCATATTCATATCTTCTTTTGAGAAATGTCTGTTCATGTCCTCTGCCCATTTTTTGATCGGGTTGTTTGTTTTTTTGTTGTTAAGCAGTGTGAGTTCTTTGTATATTATGGAGATTAACCCTTTGTCGGATAAGTGGCTTGTAAATATTTTTTCCCAATTAGTGAGCTGTTTTTTTGTTTCAATCCTGTTTTCCCTTGCCTTGAAGAAGCTCTTTAGTCTGATGAAGTCCCATTTGTTTATTCTTTCTATTGTTTCCCTCAACTGAGGAGTTACAGTGTCTGAAAAGATTCTTTTGAAACTGATGTCAAAGAGTGTACTGCCTATATTCTCTTCCAAAAGACTTATTGTCTCAGGCCTAATCTTTAGGTCTTTGATCCATTTTGAGTTTATTTTGGTGTGTGGAGAAAAAGAATGGTCAATTTTCAATCTTTTGCATGTGGCTGTCCAGTTTTCCCAGCACCATTTGTTGAAGAGACTTTCTTTTCTCCATTGTAGGCCCTCTGCTCCTTTGTCGAAGATTAGCTGTCCATAGTCCCCCTAAAATTCTTATGTTGAGATCCTAACCCCTAATATGATGGTATTAGGAGATGGGACCTTTGATAGGTAATTAGGTCATGAGGATGGAGCCCTCATGAATGGGATTAGTGCCCTTATGAAAGAGAGGGTAGGGAGTTCCCTAGCCTCTTCTGCCATGTGAGGATGTAGCAAATGGGCCCTCTATGAACCAGAAAGCAAGCTCTCACCAGACACTGAATCTGCTGGCTTGTTCTTGGGCTTCTCAGCCTCCAGAACTGAAAAATAAATGTTTATTGTTAATAAGCCACCCAGTCCATGGTATATTGTTATAGTGGCCTAAATGGACTAAGACACCCCAGAGAAGGAAAATGGGGGGAGGGAGATTGTGGGAATTTAGAAGAGAGAGATTTTTAAGTATAAGAGCAAAATATGAACATCACTGGTTTATGCAGACATTCATGTTTTCCAGTGGCGAGTTTTTTTCTGTCAGTTGCAATTACCTACAACCCTCTGTGTTTTGGAACCTCTTCTTCCTCTGAGGTATGAGACTTTGGTCTTTTGCTCCTGGAAGCTTTTTAGAGGCCTGAAAAGACTTCCCCTCCTCTTTTCTTTTTAAGGTCCTTCGGGAGATTTTGCAACCTTTACTGGTCTCTGAAAGGAAGGCAATAAAGGATTTTATCTTTTTTTTTAATAAACCTCATCTTTCTACAGATATTATGCTCCCAGCTGGCTTGGATGGGATGTTCAAGGATTTCTTTTAGATGATTTAGAACATTGATGATACCAAAAGCCATTAAGGGAAAACAATAATTTGGAGTCATATATAGTGTGTTATCATATTAAAGAATGTAGACCACAGTGATTTAATCTAAACTGAGAAAGGGCAGGTCTTTCTGTGCCTTGCACTTGGGAGAGCTTGTGTCGCTATAGCCTAGAGATGAAAATAGGACACAGAGAAAAATGATTTTGGCTTGTTTGTTGGTTTGTTTTTTAACAGTTGAGGAGGATTAATACATAGCTAGAATGACAGGCAGGCAAATGTAGACTGACGTAATCTATATCCCCTACTTGAAACCACATGAGCCTTCCTGAATTGAAAATTGATGAATCTCTTCATCTCTTGGCAGAGGAAAGGATGACATGAAAGTAAAGGCATCAAGGGGTCCTAAGTGACAGATTGGGAAGGAGGGGGGTTAGTGTTTCACCACAGATAGTTTGAAAACACTTAAGATTTGGGGCAACATGAAACTGGAAAACAATAAAAGCAGCTACAGGACAGGACTGAAGATACACATGGTAAAATCTCTTGATGCCTTTACTATTTCCAATTAGGGGTTATTATGACTATAAAACGTCTGTGAACATTTTTATACTCACCTTTTGATAGTCATATGCTCATTTCACTGAGATGCAAACTTAAAAGTAGAATTACCACCCTTTGGGTAGTCATATGTTAGTTTTAGAGGAAACTGTTGCTTTCCCAAGATGGCTGTAGCATTTTACACTCCCACGGACGATGTGTGAGTTTCATCTGTTACCTGTCCTCACGCTGCCTCGTGTTGTTTTTCATTTTAGCCTTTCTGATAGTGTGTAGTTATAAGTCATTGTGGCTTTAATTTGCATTGCCCTGAGGAGTAATGGTGTTGAGCACATTTTCACTTGCTTATTAACCATTTAAATATTCTCTTTTTTGAAGTGCCATGTAAGATTTCCCCCATTTTTTAAATTGGGTTTTTATCCTTTCCTTTTTGATTTGTGGTAGTACTTTATATATGCTCCGTATGAGTGCTTTGTTAGACATCTATATTAAAGATAGCTTCCCTCAGTCTGTGGATTACCCCTTTCCTTTCTTAGTGGTATCTTTTGATGAACAGGTTTTAATTTTGATGAAGTCGAATTTGTTACAAATTTTTTTCTTTTATGGATAGTGTTTTTTGTGTCCAGTTTAAGAAATCTTTGCTTTTCCCAAGATTTTGAAGATCTTTTCCTATATTTTCTTCCAGAAGCTCTATAGTTTACCTTTCACATTTAGGTTTATGATTTGTCTGGAATTAATTTTGTGGAAGATGTAGGTAGATGATCAAGATTCATTTTTTCCTATACAGATATACAATTGTTCCAACATTGTTTATTGAAAAGACCATTTCTTCCCCCATCGTATTGATGCCTTTGTTGTAAATTAATTGACTATATACATGTGAATTTAATTATGGACTCCCTGTTCTGTTTCATTGACCTATTTGTCTATCCTTATGCCAATACTTTGCTGTCTTATTTACTGTAGTTTTATTGAAAGTCTTCAGTCTGATTCATTCATTTCTGAGATGTTTTAGAAACTGTGAATAGCTACATTTGTTTGATTTGGGGTTACATCCATCTATTATAAAATGAAAAAGTTCATATATTTAATATTTGATTGAAAGTGTATTAAACTTAGAACAAACTAATGGGTTTTTTTAGGTTATGTTAGGACAGAATTAGCTTTGTAGAACCTTTGCTTTTAAAATGTCGTATACTTTATGCTAACCTAAGATTAAGGGATGTTAGAAATGTACTGATATTCTCACTGGAAATTATGAAAAGATCAGAAAGATTGTTATTGACTATGCCAAATGCTCTATGATAGGGGAAAAGACTTAATTTAAGCCATAGTTCATAGGCACAGTCTATTCTGCATTATTCTAACATTCCCTCTGCAGTGATGTGCTCTTTTAGCCTCATCGCTGCATCTTCTAGTCATCAGAAAACATCCTTATTGTTTTTAGAAATTCAAAATTTTAGGCATTTATATTACTCAGTGTCCTAGCAGGAAATAGAAGATATACCTTGCTGGGATTTTAAAGAAGTTTAATAAAGCTCCTATTTACAGACATATGGACAGGGTCAAAGAAACCAACATGGCATCTGGAGACTAGCAACAGCAGGACATAGTTACCACCTCTGGGGCTAGAGCAGCAGGAAGAAATGATGTTATAGACTTCCAGTGAGAAGTAGAGACATGGAATATGGGCTACCTGACAGGAGCTATGGTTGTAGAAGGTTGCAGCTTAAACAAAGGAAGAACTCAGGAAATAAATATCCTGACCTCTTTTTTCTGCATTCTGATTGCCTGCTGGTGCCTCCTTTTGGACAAGTCCAACCAGAAAACTATAAGTGCAATCTGTAAGAGTCAGTCTCCTAGGGCATAGCAGCAGGGAGGAAAAGGCCAAAAATGGATCTGGATGGGTGGGGGTGTTGGCAAACAGAATAACTAGCACAGAATAGTTCCTTTCAACTGAAAATATGAAAGAGGGTTTTTTCTTCTTAAAGTAGTGGTGGCTTCCTATATTACTTAGGATCTAAAAATAGAGAAGTTTTGCTTTGGCTAGTGCAGCCAGATTTTTCTTTATAACATACAGAAAGTACGCACAGGACCAAAAATCGCTTCTGTTCAAGAAAAAGCAGCTTATATGTATTTCAGAAGAGTGTGTGAGATCTAGCATAGCTAAATATCTTCTCTGTCATTAATCATTTGAACATTTTTAAAGTATATCTTTCTCATAAATGATTTGAATAGTTTTTTTTTGCATTTTGCAATGACCATGAATATATTTAGAAGTAATATAAAACTACATTTCTCCCCTTATAACTTATCATTTATTTAAATGTCACATCACAGAACCATTCTATGTAAGTAACATTTCAATTGATGATAATGAGAGACTTTAAGCAAAATTTTTTTGAAGTGTTCTTTTTCATTTCCTTTTTTCCCCAGTATGTGGAAGTTTTTCAGAATTTCTTATCACATGGAAGGAGACAAGATAATTTGTCATGATGTATCTCAAAAATAGCACTTGAATATTTTAGTTCATATGCAGCACACTGTTCCTTTTCTGTACTACAATTATCTCTGTCACAGATAATATTCTGGGAATGTGCAACTCATTTGTCAGGAGAAATATGACAGAAGCCTGAACTGAAATAGCAACTGAATTAGTTTATCATTTAAATTATATCTTTAAATACCTTTTACCTAGGTTCACGATGGTCCGTAGTGGAAAAAATGGTGACCTTCATCTTAAACAGATTGCTTATTATAAACGAACTGGTGAATATCATCCAACTACTCTGCCCAGTGAGAGAAGTGGCATAAGAAGAGCAGCAAAAAAATTTGTCTTCAAAGGTAAAATTAATGCCCCAAATCATGAGTATAGAGTTAATAGAGATGCTTCTCTATGTGTGTTCCATGTTTAATTCTGAGAATTTCTGTAGTAGTTGGCTGTTGCTTAACAATTATCAGTTCAACTGATGATGCCACTCAGTCAAAAGCAAAATAAAAATCACACTGAAGCTAACTGAAGCCCAGTAAGCATGAAAGGGCATTTAAAAATCACAGACAAATGATACCATGAGAAAACCAAAACACTTCCCTAAATTAACCTCTCCTGCCGCTGTCCTCAGATGGTTTCTACTCTAATGGTGCACTTTCAAGCACTCATGTCACTATCAGTGAAGAACTTATCTGATGCTTAATAGAAAATGCTGGCAAAGTTAACTTGTTTGTTTACTATATTTATTTCTGTGGTCCCCCTCCCCCACTGCTATTAAACATTCTCAGAATTACATTTGTTTTTGAACCCCTGAATGGATTAAATCTTTGAAAGGCACAGTGAAATATTTCTCTTGAAAGATTATGATAATTTTTCCCTCTCTCTCCTCCTCCTTCAAAGAGGAAGAAAAGTTTGGGATGAGATAAGCAGGAAATACAGTCACCAGATAACTAAATGAATGTTGGTGTTGTGAGTGGGAGTTTTGCCTATAGGTACAGAATCAGGCTTCTTCAGAGCAGGTTAAGAAAATTCTAAGATAGTAAGTAAATACCTGCTCATTTCTCCCTGTGTACACCCCTTCCAATAACTCCCTTATGCTTAAGAACAGGCACACCTATTACCTCTTAAACTAAAATGAGCATTCATTCATTTATTTAATCATTTACGTACCAAATGTTTACCGAGTTCCTACTGTGTGCCAGTCATACTTTAGGCCTTGGGGATTCACTGATGAATAATATAGATGAGATTCCTGCCCTCAAGTTGCTTACCTTGTAATTCAAATAAGGAATGTTCCACTCAGCATGTGCTTAATTAAGCATATTAGTAGCTTAAAGGTGTATTCTGGCATTTGGATAGTTCCCTCATCCGCACTGGAGAGCTGCTGGTTCTCTGTCTGCCCTGGTTGCTTCCCAGCTGTCGGTTCTTCTCAGGTCTCCTCCAAAAGAAAGCAGAATTGCCGTGAGGATTAAGGTTCTCCCACTTTCTGACTTTACCAACCCCACCTCCTACTCAAATTTAGAAAAACTTAAGGGAGGTGGTGGCTTACACAAATGCATTTATGGTGAAATACTGTTTCGGAAAATTTATTCCTGAAGTTGCTTGTCTGTGCATAATCCATTTGCTAATTCATGACATTTTTAGGAGATGCCTGCAAGCATTTTTCTAGTTTGAGTACTCCCATTGAAAGATAATTTCATACTCCTATAGTTATTATTCTGTGCTTTGATGAACAAGCTAGCTCTGCTTATATTGATAGCTACAAAATTATAGCAGTTAGTGCTCCTCCTACATATCTAGTAAGTAGCAGCTGAGGACTTGTCAGATTGTATGGGAGCATGATTACAAATAAATATTCTGTCTTAGAGGGAAAAAAGTTTTTAATAAAAAAAAATCCTCTGTTTCGAAGATAAGGCTATCTTAAAACTATATAAATCTCTAAAAATTGCAACTATATCTTTTTGGTATCGTTTATTCCAGAAAAAAAGCTGTTTTATGTTGGAAAAGACAGAAAACAAAATCGTTTGGTAATTGTTTCAGAAGAAGAAAAAAAGAAAGTCCTAAGAGAATGCCATGAAAATGACTCTGGAGCCCATCATGGCATATCGAGAACCCTTACTCTAGTGGAATCCACTTACTATTGGACTTCTGTGACCAATGATGTCAAACAGTGGGTATGGCTTATGTATTTAGAATATTTTGAATAATGTCTTTGTAATAGGTAAACAAATTCATTATTGCTCCTGATTTACTCTGGGTAGCACCTCTCAGTAAGTACTTTTTGTATGGGTTTTTAGAAGGAGTTTTATTTCCCTTTAGAATTCTTCTTAAAATCACTAATGTGTAATTTGGACTAGAACAAAGCATTATTTAAAGATTTTAAAATACCATATTTAGATTGGAGATTTTTTTGATCCAGATTTTGATCACTGAACTCTTTTGTGCAGGCAGAATTTAAAGGGGAATGAAATTCACCTTTGACTAAATCATTCCTTTTTGATGGCAGTCATCTTTTCTTGACAGGAGAATGTGTTCATAATAAGTCAGGCCCAGGGCGTGCTCTCATCTTTTATGCCTATTTCATCTTGATATAGAAAATGTCAAATATGACAGAAACTCAGAACCAATTAAATGCAAAATCAAGTTGTGAAGATGATGAAATCAGTCTGAGATTTGTAACTTAATAATCCATTAGGACCTTCAGCTTCTTCTAATAGAAAATTCACCTAGGAATTCTGCGATTCTTGCTAGTAGGTCAACTGATCTCCACTCTTTCTCATGTACTCTATATGGCACATGGTAGGAATTCCTTGGTATGTATGTCAGATCCCTTCAATAATTGTAATAGTGCATCAAAAAGACTGTCATTTCAGGCATAAAGAATTAAACCAACTTTTAACAAGGTATCTTTTATGAGTGCTCAGTTTATGAGTCTATGCAGGTATTCTAAAGACCTCGATATTTATATTTGCCTTTAGAACGTGCCACACGTTCCTTTACAAGCATTCAGTGAAATCTTTGTCATTAAGAATGGGTATGATTTTTGGAAATAACCGGAGGTTATTTGTGCATAAGTTGGAAAATTAAAATTTTGATCAAAAGTAACTGTAATGCAATAAGATCATTTTTAAAATTTTCTTCAGGAGTTGGTTTGAAAGTAGTTTCCAAAGGGGAATTCCAGAAATATGTTGAGCAATGGCAGCATCCATAAGTTGATCAGTTGATCTCTTCTCACGTAAATGAAAGCTCCCTGACAGCATGGGGTTTGTTTTTGTTCATTCTCTTTTCCTGGGACCTAAAGGAATTTCTGGCATCTATAAATATTGTTTGAATAAAATTATGTTTTAATAAATATTGTTGGAATAGGTAAATGAATGAACTTACTACAGTGATAACTTTAAAAGAAAAAATCTTTTCATTATGGAAATTAGTGTATATTCATATACTGATTTAAAATTTATAGCAAACTTGTTTTAAGATCTATTCATTTAATAAATATTTATCGAATATAAACCGGAATTACATTCCACGTGAATAATACTCCTTAAGATGATCATTGAATAGTAATAGCAAGTAATATTTGCTATTATTTTCTGAATAGAAGCTTTTATTCTATTCTGAGAATAGTCCAAAAGTTTCTCCTTCAAAACGCAAAGTACTGTTAACCATTTTAAAGTTTAGATTTATAAGACTGCTTTTATTATGTTGACTATATTAACATTTGTGTATCCTTTCTTTATTGTGTGCCTGTTTTATAGGTATATGCTTGTCAGCATTGTCAAGTGGCAAAAAATACAGTTATTCTAGCACCCAAACAGCACCTTCTCAAGGTGGAAAATCCATGGAGCATAGTTACTGTTGATCTAATGGGCCCATTTCATACAAGCAACAGAAGTCATGTGTATGCTATAATCATGACAGATTTGTTCACAAAATGGGTTGTGATTTTGCCTCTATGTGATGTTTCAGCATCAGAAATTTCTAAAGCTATTATCAATATATTTTTCTTATATGGACCTCCTCAGAAAATAATAATGGACCAAAGAGATGAGTTCATTCATCAGGTAAGACAAATAAACTACCTAGGTCTAGGAGCATATTTTACTCACCTTTCGGTGCCCAGCACACCTGTGCATTTTAGGGTGCTTAATAAGTTTCGATAAATTTCTACAGATATAGAGATTTAATATTGTATAGTACAAACGTAGTTGGACTGGAAATTAAGGGACCAGAATTTTAGAACTTATTGTGCCACTAAGTATTTGTAAACCTATCTTCAGGTTTCCTCAAACTAAAATAAGGAGGTTGGACCAACCAAATAATCTTTGTTTACTTCTAGCTTAAAAATTCTATGATTGATATGTAGAGGGAGAATTGACTACATAGAGAAATGCATCATGTTCATGAATGAGAATATTCAATATTGAAAAGTATGAATTTTTTCCCAAATCAAAATTAATTTATGTAATTAATGAATTTCTAATCAGCATTAAAAAGGAGGGAGCTTTTTCTCTTGTCCTGGGCTTTTTCCACATTAAAGTTAACCTGAAAAAATAAGCAGTCTAGAATATATACGAAAATTCTAAAAAAGGAATATAATAACTACTACCCTTAAGGCATATTTAAAAATTTTTATAATTGACAGGGTACTGGTATAAGAAAAACTCAGAGGGAGCTGGACTCTCTTGGTTCACAGCACCTTTGATATCTCAGTCCGAAAGAAATTCTAAAGTTATATTTATTAAGTAGTTAGGTCTTGTGTCAGGGAGTCCCTAAGATTATCTCCAGGTTTTATGGTTTACTAAGAGTACTCAGCAAATGGTTATACTCATGGCTAAGATTTAATATAATAAAAGGATGCAAAGAAAAGGCTCCTGGGGAGAAGTCCAGGGGAAACCAGGAACAACTTTCCAAGATAGCATCTCCCAGTGGAATCACACAAGACTGGTTTAATTCTCTCAGCAAGAAGTTGTAGCAGCACATGTAAAATGTTATCTACCAGGAAAGCTCATTAGAAGCTCAGTGCCTAGGATTTTTACTGGGGGCTGGTTACATACACACACTCTGCCTGGCATGTGGCAAAATTCTAGACTCCCAAAGAAAAGAAGGTGTTCAGCATAAACTGCTGGTTCGTATAAACAGTTTAGGCACAGTGAGCCACCCTTATCAGTTAGGGAATGGTGGAAACCCTCCTGAAATCCAAGTTCCCGGACACTGGCCAAGGGCCAGCCTTGTAAGCAGGCCTTTCAAAGGATAGCAGCCCCAGGTCTGCTATGTTAACTGTTTTGTGCACAGGTCCAAACAACTAAATAAGTATTTACATCCTAACTACTTAACCGTTAAAAAAAATAATACTCATAAATTGAAAGAAAAAATATTTTTATTTCATTCTTAGGTAAACACAATTACTTACTAATGGGATGTGTGTATGTACCTGTTGACCACTACTCAATTTCTCAAACCTTGGGATGAAACTGAATGCTCATTTCCTGTTTTACATTGATTTTTACAGAGTTGCTCTTTATCACAGCATCTACTGAAAAACCAGTTCTGTAAAGATAAGACATCAAAAGGAATGTAGCCTTATCTAATGTTGAAACTGTAAACTACCTTTAGCTAGTAGTTTTCAAGGTGTCCAGTAGATGTTAAGGGGGCCCCTTGGCAGAGTTTGGTAAGCCTGGTTAAAATGATAGAGCTGGCATCACAAATGAGTGGAGTAGGGAAGGATTATTTAATAAATTTAGTTAACAATTGGCATAAGTAACAGCTTCCTAATTGACTTTTTTTAATAATCTCTAGAGATGGAGGTAACATTCTAAGCTTAGGAACAGTGATATGAATTTCAGTGGAAAAATCGCTAAATTTGGCTGCATATAAATTAGAAACTTACGTGTGGTAAAATAGCCAAAACATATAAAGGCCAAGAAATAGACAAGCAAAAATAAAGCAAATCCATGCAGGAAAGGGCTAATGTCTTTACTATAAAATATTCAAACAAATTAAAACATTTAGTCAATGGCAAAAACATAATTTGCAAGAGAGAATAAAAATAATAAACATGGAAAAATGTTCAAATTCAATAGTAATGAGTAATGCAACTTAAGACCATTTTTTGCTTATCTTATCAGCAAAAATAGTAATAATATCAAATAGACTCTAGGTAAATTATATAGCCTTCCATTACTGGTAACATTATAACTTGAAGCTAACTCTTTTGTAAAGCAGTTTGCAAAAAGTCCGCTAAGAGCTATTTATATTTTTGTCTTTTTGTTAGCAATCCTATTGCTAACAATTTTTTCTAAGGAACTTATCCAAAGAATAGAGATAATTTTTTTATGATGCTATTTACCACAATGCTATTTATATTATTCAGAGACAGGAAACAACCTGAATATCCAAAAAAAGGAAGTATTTCAGAAAAATATGTCTAGCCACATGATGAAATATTTGTTGCCATTAAAAATGATGCTTACAAGGAAACAGAAGTAACACGAACAATGTTTACCACATTAAGTTAAAAATTTAGATAAAGAATTTTATTACATAATGTTATATATACATATATTTACATAGATAACTGTGTAAAAGATATAAAAAAGTAAAATAAAAATCCTTAAGATTACCAAGGAGTTTTTTTTAAAGAATGATGAGATTATAGATTTTTACTTAATTTTTGAGTTTATATGTGTTATCATTATGTTCCTTTTATAGTTTTCAGTGATTAAAATATACATAATCATTTATTGCTTTGTGATATAAATTGCTAGTTCTTAGCAATAACTCATTCTCCTAGCCTTCCAAACGTAGAAGGCCAGCCTTCGAGCCTCCTGCAGGTAGACAAGGCCAAGGAACTAGATTTAGCCAAAGAAATTAAGTGGATAGATGTGTGCCACTTTCCGCCTGAGGTAGTGAAAACCTCATGCTCAGTTCTTCAGTCTCCGTGTCTTACTCTTTCTCTGGGGGGTTGACTGAATATTCCAGATATTACGCTGTAAGGTGGTGGAATTTCTCTCATCCAGGATTGTTCACCTAAAGGGGAACAGTTGCCTTGGAGAGACTGACCTCCAGCTGACTTGCAGGAGCAAGCAGTAAAACTGTTGCGTTAAGCCACTAGGACTTGACTGTACTTGGTACCTGCAGCATAATCTTGCCTGCCTTGACTGACACAGCAGTGGTCTGCAAAATGGGACGTGTAGGACAATCCAGTTTGTGGGAATGGCAATATTAAAACTTCTATTCATATTTCTTTTTTATCTAATAAGAAAGAAATGAAGATTTACTGATAATGTGTGCAGATTGATAATAGCATCCTGAATCAACAAGGCAGATTGTTGTGTGTCACACCGGTATGCGAAGGTATCCTGAGAGAAAAGTGAACATGTAGGCATCTGCGGTGGTTCCCTCACTCATTCTTTTGTTTTCAACAGTAATTGAATTTATGGATATCACCTGGTTTTCACCAGACTACTCCCCCACAGAATAGCCAGGTAGCTTAATTTTCTTGCAGTGAAATACGATAATAACAATAATGCGATCGCCTGTCAACCACAAGAAAATGATAGAGCTGACACTTCTAAACTTCTGATACTGGCTCTTTCATAGACACATTAATGAGATGAAAACAAATATGAACAAGTCAGATCTGATGGGAAATTGGCCACCAAAATTCAAAATTATCAAGGAAACTATTTGAAATATTGATTTGCTTCCACCTTTATTAATGAAGAGCGTCACCCTAAGTACGTAGAGTGCTTCAAGATAGTAGATAAGGACAATATGAAGCCCTTATGAATTGCCAGTAGTTTTTGCAGTCTACTTAAAGTCTTGTGATAATAAGCCCAAGACTTTGAAAATTTTACGAAAGGTAACAATAAAAAGCCTCTGTATGAGGTTTAATGATATCAAAAAACTAAAAACCACATATGATTGAGACAGTTTGTTCTATTCGCTATGATTTAAATGGCTTATATATTACACAGAAAGCATAATGGTGACGAAATAAAATGTTTTCTTTTGTCAGCAAATACTGACAGAAAATGCTACTAAAGTGTTGAAATAAGATTAGAATATTTTACACAATGTGGGAGATTTGTTACACAGTTGGATGAAAATACAGATGTTGCCAACACAGCTTAGAGTATTTGTTAAAGTGTTTCAATAAAATGCACAAAGAACTTTTTGTAAACCTCTCAAGGAAAGAGAATAAATGTTTTCAAAGGAAAAATTACTTCTTTAATTTAAAAAATATGTCTTATGGAAAACCAAAATTGTAACCACTCATGGAATATCTGTTTTGATGGGGAGGAAAAAGGCTGTTGGCGTCAAGATAGCAAGGTAGGATCTCACAAATGGACTCATTGGATCATTTCTAGGCAGTCTCTTGAAGCAAAGAAGTTGAAGGCTTTTCCAGAGGTCAGTAGTTTAAAACCCTTGATTGTGACCTTGGATTAAGGCTGACCCAAATGACACCAATTTCTGGGATTTCTTTTTAATTGCTTTTAAATTAAAAGGAGGCAGCCTAAATTGGCACATATATTAGCTAGGAATTGGATTCAGCTGCAAGTAACAGAAAACTCCTGTCTTCCTCTCGATATATAAACTCCAATAGGGGTTTATTTTATACTTAGATAAAAGAAGGCCAGGCTGTCCAAGGTTGGAAGGGTAATGGAATGTCATTGGGAACCCATGCTTCCAGCTCTCTGCTTCTCCATCTTTGAGATGTGATTCTCAGTTTTGTGCTTACAATATGGCTGCCAGAGCCCATGCCACAAAGTCTACATTTCAGAAAGAAAGAAGGGGGAGAGCAATGGGCAAAAAAAGCTTGCAACAGCTGAGTCTGCCCAACAACTTTTAAAAGCCCAACTTCCACTTTTTGGCTAGAACTTTATCATGACCACCACTACCTGCAAGGGAGCTTGGGAAATGTGATTTTGTTTTTATTCATTTTTTCCTAATTTATTAGCTTTACCTTTTTAGTTACTCTGATACTACTTGTCTTACAATTAAGCAACAAGAAATATAATAGTCTTCCTTTTTTTTGTTTTTTGAGGAAGATTAGCCCTGAGCTACCTACTGTCAATCCTCCTCTTTTTGCTGAGGAAGACTGGCCCTGAGCTAACATCCATGCCCATCTTCCTCTACTTTATACGTGGGACGCCTACCACAGCATGGCTTTTTTGCCAAGCAGTGCCATGTCCGCACCCAGGATCCGCACAGGCGAACCCCAGGCTGCCGAGAAGCGGAATGTGAGAACTTAACTTCTGTGCCACTGGGCTGGCCCCTATAATAGTCTTCTTTTAAAAATCAAGTTGATCAGCCAAAAGTTTACCCAGTTAAAACTAATAAGAAATAAGTCTGACGAATAAGGTAGGAAAAATAAGTTATTTTACATTTAACAGGCTTACTGTTGGAAGTTTTCTAAACTTGTTTTGACTTCTTTTAGGCCTTGCACATACTAAATACAAAAACAACAATAATGGTAACATTAAACGTTATAAAGTGCTTACTACTTGGCCAAGAATTGTTTTAAGTGCTTTACAAACATTTACTCAGTTAATCCTCGAAAGAGTCCTGGGTAGAATTTTCCTCATTTGGCAGTTGAGGAAACTGGTTTAGTGACGTGGCTATGGTCACATAGCTGTTAACTGGATTATGTGACTTAGTGTTTATTTGAGAAACTGTCTACTGAATTAAAATGTTATTTGAACTCAGAGTTGGTGTTAAATTCTGTTCTTCCATTTCCTTGTTGTGTGTGTGTCTCTGGCAAGGCACTTAACCTTAAAGCTTCATTTAGCTTTTTATCTTCAAAATTGGGTTAATAATGCCCCATAAGATCGTTGTAAGCTATAATGACAGTAATGTAAAACATTGTGTGTTGACTAGCACATAATAAGGACTCAATAAATGGTGATCGCTGTTTTAAACAAAATATGTATGTTTTTATATAGAATGGCTATGGTCAATGAAAAAGGCAAGATTTAAATTCTTTTGAAAACTTAGAGTCAAGGGAAAAATAAAATACAAATTTTAAAGTCAGCTTTGTTTTATATATTTTGCAGATCAATGTTGAACTTCGTGGATTGTTTGGCACAAAGCAAATTGTAATTTCTCATGCCTCCCAAACTGTGAATCCAACTGAAAGTACACCCAGCACCATCAAAACGTTTCTCTCCAAGTACTGTGCCGACCACCCAGACAACTGGGACGACCACCTGTCAGCCGTTTCATTTGCCTTCAATGTGACTCATGTGGTATGTGCCTTTATACAGTTCTCTGCTTTTGAGTTATGACTATTTCTTGGCTAGACAAATGTTTTATTAAAAATTGTTTATTTTCCTTAAAACAGGAGTCTACTAAAAACACACCATATTTTCAAATGTTTAATCGAAATCCTTGTGTGCCTGAGACTTCAGATATTCTTCGAGAAGTGGATGGTGATAATACAAGTATGTTTGCCAGAATTCTAGGTGCAATTAAAGAAGCTGATAAAATAATGGAGAATAAGACAACTTCAGCAGACCAGGTGATTCTATTTAATAGAAAACTATAATCTAAAAATCTATACAGTGATTTTTTTTTAAATTTCAGCATATATACACACACACAGATGCACATACACATACATGCACATACATATGTTGTTAAACCAAATTTTTTTCTGTCAAATTCTGCTTGTCTTGATTAAACAGTATTCTTATTAGCTGTGACATTCTGAGAGACAATAATGGGAAAGCCATGTATTTTGGAATCAAGTAGGGCTGAATTCAAATCCCTAGTCTTATTGCTTTCCAGTTGTTTGACTTGGGCAAATTACTTAACCTATCTCAATTTACCTTCTTTGTAAAGTTGGGATAATAATACTGACTTTGGAATATCATTTTAAGAATTAAATGGAATTCATGCCTACTTTTTATAGCATCTCAGTAAATAACCATTTTGTTATAATATTACTATCTGCATTTACCTTCAAGAAACTGTACCTCTTTCATCCTTTTGTTCTCTCTCTTTTTTTTGTAGATGGAGGACAACAATTTTGATGAACTAAATAAAAGCAAAATCATTGTTAAAAAGAAACCAAAGCAATTAAATCCATTTCATCTAAAAGTGGGTCATGAAGTTTTAAGACAAAGGAAGAATTGGTGGAAGGATGGTCGTTTTCAGTCCGAATGGGTTGGTCCTTGTGTCATAGATTATATTACAGAAAGTGGATGTGCAGTTCTGAGAGACAACACTGGGACTAGACTTAAAAGACCTATCAAAATGTCCCACCTTAAGCCGTATGTGAGAGAATCCAGTGAACAAGGTAAATATCTGTCACTTCTCCACATTTTTACTTTCTTTGACTGAGAAGTTAAAAATATAAGAAATTCTCCCTCCTTTAGTTAGGTTTTCTTTTCCTTTCTCATTTTTATAAAATTTGGTACAGTTTTAGATACCAGGTGGTCTGATTTATTAGAATGTCTCTTCTGAACTGTCAGGCTTGTAAGAGATTTTATTTTGATTTCTAATGCACTTTCCTTACACTTTTCCACAGTTCATGTGGGAGATAATGAACCTGTTCCACAGAAAGAAGAATTACATCTTCTCTGTTTTCACTTTTGCAATATTTTATTAGTCACTTTGTGCCTCATTTTAGCATGAAAAACAGCAATTAAGAAAATTAATGCCCAAAACAAACATACTATCCAGAATCCTGTTGTGAGATAAATATATTAGGGAACTTAAAAAATGTGATTAATTTTTAATAATCTATTATTGCATCATAGGTCATGGTGGGTACAGGGGAGGGTACCGAGTGGGATGTGCTCAGAATGCTCGAAGGTGCTAAAAGAAGTGATCGCACCCTAAATAAGGTTGTACTTGCCCCAAAATATGGTTTTGAACAGTCAAGATATTGTGATCTCTCTAACCCTTTCTTTTCATAGACTGGAGCTAAATGACATTTTCCCATAGCTGTCATATTAAATCCCACTTTACTGAGACTCTTTTATTTGGTCCTATTGTATCTGCTCCCTAAAATTTCTCTGGGGTAGATAACTGAGAGGGAGTTAATTGGTACCTTAGCCAGTTAATTTTTCCTTTTCTATAGAGAAAGATAAATCATGCATATTATTTGAATATGAGTAACAATTAATGGAAGATACAATTCAGTACATTTTTAAACAATATAAACAACTGAGTTATTCAACAGGCTTTTAAGTAAATAATAATTACAAAAGCAACAACAACAGATACCTACACATACCCTGTTTTTTAGGATATGAAGCCCTTGGTGGCTGCTCAGTAACAGCTCAACTCTGCCTCTGATCTGTGTCACTACTGTTGTCTTAAAAGCTTTTAGTGCCTTTCCTTATGCTGTGACAGACCCACTTGCTCTAGTGGTAAACTTATCTTGGACCGTTCTAATTCTGAAAGCTCACAGTACCTTCATTCTCTTTGTTAGATGATGAGTGTTTTCATTCCCCAGGTGCCTCTTCTCAGTTCTGAGCTACCCTTTATAATTTCTCCCTTCTGCAAGTTAAGTAGAAAAAAAAAAGATTATACCTGTTGTCCTTTCTTCTTTAGCCTGATTCTCCCCTTAATCTTTAGCATTCAGGATTTGCTCCCTTCTAATGTGTTAACCTTCTTTAATTAATACAGAATTTACGTATAAAATGTTGCTGTATCAGGATCTGTTTCAACATTTTGCGATTTGCTCTTGCCAAAGACTTTCTTAGAAAAGAGGCCAAACATTTTGCTACTCCTGCATATTTTGGAATCCAGTTGAGTAGAACAGTTTCTAAACAGAGACAATATAATTTTTGCATCATGCTTGAATTCTCTGCAGATATTTCTTCCAGTAATAGGAAGGAAATTGCAATATTAGTACTGGTTTACATATAAGGAACCTGAGATTGATAGGTCAAATTGTTTTTTCTTGTTAACCGAAGGAAGTACCGATCTGGCCTTCCTGCAATCTAGGTCGTGATTACTATTTGGTTCTTTTGTGTTGCTCTTATTTGCAGAAATTCAAAACAAATGTGATTTCTGCCATCTTTTCTTCAGTATCATATATTTTCCTGAAAATGTTCACCTCAGGAGCTGATTTTAAATAGTCCTTGAACTGAATTTAAGGCAAACAAAATGTGTTCCAATAAGCATCCCGTTTTTTTATTTGACGTAAATTTGGATGAACTTTAGCCAAAAGAACTATGAGTTTGTCTGTCTGTGCTTGTCAGTGCTACTCTTACCAGCCTTGAGATTTCGTAGCTGTATTAAAGACTCACTGTCCAAAGCAGATATGCTTCTGTTGCCAACTTCTTATCCATTCTTATCTAGAACATGATGTGGAGAGAGCACATTCAGTACTAGGTCTATAATTTTCTCATTGCTATGTTAGGCAGGCCTGTTTGTCATTTTGTCTAGTTTAATGCCAGGTACCTTTTCAGGACGATTTTAACAAGAAATTTTATGGCATACCATAGTGTCTCTTTGCAATCATAATGTTCCCCTTTGAAAGGAAAAATATTATTGACCCATTATTGTATCTGACATAGATTTTGAGTAGTTTTATGTGTGTGTGTGTTTGTTTTGTTTTGGGTAGGAGTTATTGTGATAGATTTGTGTCTGCCTCCTGTAAAGGTTTGAGTCTGATTTTCCTTCACAGAAAAACAAGTGAAATGTTTTTCATTATTTTGTAAGTTTTCTATCGCTGCCATAACATTACCACAAATGTAGTGACTTAAAACAACACAAGTTTATCATCTTACAGTTCTGCAGCTTGGAAGTCCAACACAGGTCTCACTGGACTAAAATCAAGGCATTGGCAGGGCCGTGTTCCTTTTGGAAGCTCTGGAAAAGAATCTGTTTCCTTGCCTTTTACACCTTCTAGAGGCTGCTCACGTTGCTCGGCTTGTGGCCCTCTTCCTCTGTCCTCAAAGCCAGCAGTGGTGGATAGAGTCCTTCTCACAGCGCGTCTCCCCAACTTCCTCTTCTTCTTCTCTCTTCCATATTTAAGGACCCTTGTCCTTGGGCCTACCCAGATAATCTCCCTATTTTAAGGTCAGCTAGTTAGCAACCTTAATTCCATCACTACCCCAATTCTCCTTTGCCATGTAAGATGACTTATTCCCAGGTTCCAGGGGTTAGTACATGGACGTCTTTAGGGGACCATTATGCTGCCTACCACAGTTATGGTCCACATGCATGAAACAAAACAAAGCTTAGTCCTATATTATCCAGCCCATGATCTTGGCTTTATTATTAATATAGTTTAGACAAAGAGCCTCCCTTTGGCCTCGTAGTTATCTAATCTCTAAACTAATAATTCAGTTCTCTGTTAGTATTGGTTACCTCTTATAATGACAATTATATAGTATCAAGTTATAGTTATTAGTTGTTATTTTATCATGAGAAAGGATGTACTAGTGTGGCAACACATTCTGATAGTTTTAGGATTATCAGGCCATACATAGGATTACTCTAGTGACCCGCCTGCAGAGTAAGAAAACTAAGAATTCTGAAACTTTGTACTTTTCTTTCTATTTGAAGAAATAAATTAATCTAAATCAGACTTTTCTGAAGCTTTGATTTTAACTTTTCTCCGTAGGGAAATTTAAAAATGTATTTCTCAATGTCATTATTTTACTCCTTAAAACTACAGAAGGAGAAGTATGTCAAAACTGCTGAAAAAATTTCCTGTAATGTCTTGAAAATATCTCCATTTTTAGGAAAGTAAAAACTTAATTCATGCCTGAGTGGTTAAGTTCACATACTCCGCTTCAGAGTCCCAGGGTTTCGCCGGTTCGGATCCTGGGTGTGCACCTAGCACCACTCCTCAAGCCATGCTGAGGCGGTGTCCCACATAGCAGAACCAGAAGGACCTACAAATAGAATATACAACCATGTACTGGTGGGCTTTGGGGAGAAGAAGAAGAAAAATAAAAAGATTAGCAACAAATGTTAGCTCAGGGTCAATCTTTAAAAAAAAAAATTATTCCATCTGGTCAAAACTGAAATAATACTTTCATCAAACAGATGTCATAGTCATAACTAAATCAATAGAATGAGAAAAGAAAAATACTTCAGTAAAGTCTATAGTGTAATGTGACTGAGTGGAGAAGTCCTTTAATATGGTGTTGGTTTACCTCTGTCATAATCTGTCTTGAGGGCAAAAATCTGTCTTGTTCTTTTCTATATGTCTAACTCAGAATTAATCTGAATCAGTACTGTCCTATAAATGTATAATACAAAACTTATGTAATATATAATTTTAAATTTTCTAGTATCCACACTAAAAAATTACAAATAGTTGAAAATAACTCTAATAATATATTTTATATAACCCAGTGTATCTAAAATATTATCTCAACATGTACATTAGGCCTCAAGAATCTTTTTTCTGGTTTTCTTTGGTTTTTTGTGCTTTTTTGACGTTAAAGAGCATTTCTCTTTCTTCCAGCATTTACTGGACCGTAGTAGGAGTTAAAACATATTTGACCTTTCTGAATGAATGAGAATTTTGTTTTTTTCTACACAATCAATGCTTGAAATCTCCAGAGTAATTTTCCATTGCATATAAAGTAATTTGTGTAGAATTTGCCCTCTATAGTTTTATTATAATAAAGTACTTTAAAGTTTATCACTCATTTAAAAGAAAAAGTATGTGTGTGTATATACTCAGATATATATGTGTATATAAATACACTTATATAGAAGCTCTCCTCTTACAAATGAGGTTGGTAAAGTCCATTTGTTTCTAAGTCCCTTGTAACTAGAAGATTCTTAAGCTCCAGGTCTGTGAATGCATTTCCAGCAAATAAAAATGGTAACTTCTAAGAGCTTTACATATATGCATATTTTCCCAGTTGATATATGTTTCCTGGACATATTTTTCTAAAATAGACCTGCTTCATCTGTTTGGAAAAAAAATTTTGAGATAGAAAACTTCCTTCATCAAAAATCTCTGTAAGAATATTTAGAAATACCTTAAGTTCTGTGGTACGTGCTGTCACGGATACTTTGCAGCATTGTTCAGGCCTTGAATCTATGGACTTCTCCATGGCTTATTAGAAAAATTTGATCAGCAACACTTTGACCATACCTAACCTTTTTAAGTTCACTTATAAACTACTACCTAGCATTCTCCGGTATTAACAGGCCAACAGCAAACTTTGGTGTTAAAAGTGTAGCAACACATTCGAAAAGTATTTCAATTTCATTGACCATTTCTCTTCCTTCTTGCTGCTATTGCACATAGCACTTCTCATGGGCTACATGATTTTTCTTTATCTTTCATAATTATGCCTCTTGTCCAGCAATTCATCCCATACTAACATAACAAAATTCATGGTCTTACCACTTTCAATTATCCATATTTTTATTTCTGTCATAAATATGTGTATTTCTTAACAGCATTTTCAATGTAGTTATTACTTTTGCATTCATAAGAATTGGTGGGATTAAACTTAGAAAACTTCTCAAAACTAAAATACCAAGAATACTTTGTCTGATGAAGAACCAAATAGGCAAAACTAAATGTCCTCACAAGCCCGAGTCCACTTATGCCATCTGTTGGTAGAGAGCATAGCTTGGATTCATCTAGTGAAGTTTGTAAATTGAAAGTTCTTAAATGTATAAAATTCTGGGAGTGGAATAGGCCCAAGTGAGCTTTTCACATAGTATGAGGATGGCTAGAGTTGGCTCATGTTCCAGAATATTTGTCTGCTCTGAGAAACTTTCATTGATCTCCAATTTAAATGGGCAATTAATCTTCCTTTTGTTAATTCTCGAACTAAAATTTGAGGACTCTTTAAGCTATTAAAATCTTCAAGAAAATCTGTTAATGTTTTGGGAGAAAATCCAGAAAGAGAAGGCAGGATCCAGGAGGTTAATCAGCTGTGGTGGAAGAGTTCCTTGTAATGAATTAAATGTCAGGTAGGGAGGAATCCTTTTATCTACATTAACCTTTATTTATAAAGATGCTACTGCTTTATCAGTTTAACATTCACTTTGAGCATTTTTTTTCCTTGTAGTGATGATAAATTTGCTCAAAATAGAATAAAATGCTGACAAGAGAAATTTCTTGTCAATATTTCAGTATGGAGTTAGCTACACCTTACAAGTTTATAAGTATTTTGTATTAAGTTAGACTTAAATAAGCTGAGCTTTTAAAACTACTTTACTGCAGCCTACCTGCTTACACATTCCTATCATATAAGACTGATTCTAGAAACTTTATCTTCATTTTAGTTTATGACTTTATATTGTAACAATTTGACATTATTGTCCTAATATGGGTTCTATAAAGATTGAAAAATTATCTAAAGTTGTAAATGTAAGGATTCAGTAATTGTTTTGTTAAAATATCTTTTAAGACCCCATTAATTCACCCAAAAATGCTTTGCAAAAGCATATTTAAGGATACCAACATTAAAAATATAGTTTTATAACTTTGTTTTTAATCTATACCATAATCCTGAGCCCCTTCCTTGCCCACACCTACCAAAGACAGGTCAAAGAAACAGGAAAACTTGACTCTTTTAAAATCCTTGGTCTTTCCTGAATTCTATATATATGTACTGTCAAGCTTATATATCATTTTACTTACTCTTTGGCATGTATATTTATTTAGTAGATAGGAGAACCCACCAGAAGTTAAACTTGATGGTTAATTTTTATTACTTGGAATTTTGTTCCACATTTAACATTGTTTAATTCTTTTTAATGATGTTTGATTATAATTCTAAAAGGCAAACTTATGATGTTTCTTCTTTCAGACAGTCTTTATCTCCTGCAAGGTTCAGTAGTGGCAGATCATGACTACATTGGATTGCCTGAAATTCCAGTTGGAGCATACCAAGCCAGTATTCTGGTAGAAGATGCAACTATTGGTGTAGTCGAGAATGAATTACTGACATCAAGCAAGGATCGTGAACTACTAGAATACAGAAATGCCAAAATCTCTCCATTGATAGAGGATCATAGTACTCTTGAAAAGCAGACTTTCAGTCTTTTGGACTCTTCAAACCTTGAGTACTTAACTTAGCAAATAACGAAATTCATTTAAAGTTCTTCTTTAGAATTACAACTCCTTGAATCTTGATATCTTTTCCATTAAAAAAGGTTGTATAGAAGACGTATCTTTACACACTCTTAGTGACAGATCCTAAAGGTTTATTTTATAACTATTTATTTATGTAAAGTTGTGCCACGTTTGAATGTCAGTGCATATATATAAAGGCAAAGGAAGTATATAATATATAGAATTTACTTTTTCTTCTAAAAAGAGAACAGGCAAAGCATGCTTGCTTCTTAAGAAGTAAACTAAATTCCAGCTCAGAACTCTCAAATCTTTGTGTGGTATTGATCCATGTTTTCAGTTTTAATTTTTTTTTAATATTCCCCCCTTTTAAAAAATAAGTTTGAACTACCTAGAATGAGATTAATAAATATTTATTAAACCATAACAATGAATTAAGTGAAACTTCTTTGTATCATTGAAACTTCTAAACACAGTATTGTAGGAAAATATTTAGAGTTGTTTAATGAGGTCTTACAGGATACTGGTACTTTTACCTTGTTGGACAGGCGTAGGATTAGAATCTGAAACTGTATGTTCGTTTGAAAACATTTGTGCATTTCCATAATATGTATTAAAGCCAAAAGCATCCATTAATAAGATTTTTCCTGCAATCATAAAAAAGTAAATAACGATAAAATAATGTCAAAGATTTTCAACTATAATTCCTATGATATGTTTATCTTCATTCAACAATATTTGTTATAAAGCACTTTGAAGCATACCGTGGGAAAATCAAAAGATGAGTCAGATGTGTGCCTCATCCTCATGAGGGACTTACAGTCTGGTGAGGAATATAGACCATATAAGCCATGTACAATGCAAACAAGAAGTTACTTGCTACATTCCATAAGAGAAGGACAAATAATGTACTTAAGGAGGCAAAAAAGAAAGGTTGTTTATGAATAGGAAACTTAGGTTTATGCTTATGGAAGAAGGATCATTTGAGTTTGACCTTGAAGAATGTATAGGATTTGGTGAAAGAGTACAAAAGAATTAGAGGAGAAGAAATGCAGAGAAACAGAAGAGTATTGTAATGATTCACAAAAGGGCAGGGATTTTTGTTGTCCACAGTGCCTTGGGTGTAAAGTGAAGTAGTGAGGAACAGATCAGGCTGAAAAGGGAAGTAGGAAACATTGAAGGGCTTTGAATAGGATTATGGGTTGAATTGTTTCCCTCCCTCAAATTCATAAGTTGAAGTCCTAACCTGTAATACATCAGAATGTGACCTTATTTGGAAATAAGATTATTGCAGATACTAACGTTAGTTAAGGTGAGATCGCAGTGGATTAGAGTGGGGCCCTAATTCAGTATGACTCATGTCCTTATGAAAGGGACAGATTTGGACACAGACTCAGGGAGAATGCCATGTGAAGAGGAAGGCAGAAATTGGGGTGATTCTTCTGTAAGCCAAGGAATGCCAAAGATTACCAACAAACCACGGAAACTGTGAGTGAGGCGTGGAACAGATCCTTTCTCACAGCCCTCAGAAGGAACCAACCCTGTCAGCACCTTCGTCTCAGATTTGGAGTCTCCAGAACTGTGAGAGAGTAAGTGTCTTTTGTTTAAACCACCACATTTGTAGCATTTTGTTACAGCAGCTCTAGCAAAGGGCTAAATTATTTTTTATTTTCTGAGAGCTATTGGAGGTCTTTGTATAGGTGTCATGATCAGAACTTGTTTTAGGAAATTTAACGTGGCAGCTAGTAAAGAATTGATTGAAGATGAGGGAAGAAAAACATGAGGATTAGTTGATAGGATTTGCAGTGATGATGAGTAATAGAAACCTGAACTATTCTGGGAGCCTTAGTAATGAATGGAGCATATCTTAAGATCTACAGAGTATCTCACATATTTTATGTGTCAACCATACTGAACAGTGAGCGTGATACTGAAAATGGAGACCTATATTACAATTACTAATTTAAGAAGAAAGATTTAAATTATGTTTGATGTAGGCTAAGTGATAGTGATTGGGGGAAAGAAATCAATCTAGGACCTTGTCTTATACCACAGACCACATAAATCCAGGTAGAATTCCAGAAAGAAACCTTAAGAAAGCATGGTTGTCTCAAACAGTGATACCTATCTTGCTTCCATCAGCAGGACAAAGTTCATGATGGAGTCATTTTGGACGCTCTCTTTGGTAAATATAAGTAGTAATTGTCCTTTTCTTAGCTCAAGTGAAGTAACTTTCAATGGTTATCTGACTCAAAATCAGCCTCTTTCCGTTATAAGAGGATAATTAGTGAGTCATTTTAGAATGACAATTTCGAAGCATTTTTTTAAAAATTCTGCCTCTCCTAAATAATTTCTCATCAAACAGACCTTTATCCTGTGTGCATCAGTAATGTTGGGCTATGCTGTGCTGGGTCTACAAACAATCCTCAAATCTTAGTGGCTTGAAACAACAGCGAATCCTCTTGGTTCATTAAGGGCTTGGTTCCATTTTCATGCTCCCTCCAAGATGCAGGCTGAGGGAGCCTCACCCTGCCACCATGGCAAGGGGAGAAGATGGTGCACTGAGCACCAGCTCTGAAGAGACTTGCTGTGAAGTTATGCACATCCTTCCCACTCACATTATAATGGTCAAACCTAGTCACACACTGCTCATGGGTATGGGTTTCTTTTTGTGGTGATGACAATATTCTCAAGTTAGTGATGATGGTTGCATAACTCTGAAAATACTAAAATCCACTGAATTGTAAACTTTAAAAGGGTGAATTTTATAGTTTGAGAATCATCTCAATAAAACTGTCATAAAGAGAGTCTAAACCAAAGCTTACCAAAAAAACTAGCCACATAGCCACGCCTAAAACCAAAGGACAGGAAGTACCATCCTACTATATTCCTCGAAGGAGGAAAAGCAAAACATTGGTGGATAGCTGTAATAGCTGCCGTTTTCACCTTTGTTTGCAAGTTCTGTTCTAAGCCATGTATGATGAAAGTTATTTTTACTTCCTGATAAATATCCAGTATAAGCTATTCAAATAAAATGCTGATTTTATTACTGAAATCTCAGGATTCTAATGTAGAGATTCCACATACAGATTTTAAGTAAACAAATACAGAAAATACCCACCAATTATGTACACACTCATAGTCCTGTCTTTAATGTTTGCAGGACCCAGTCAAGAGCAAAAATGAAAGTCCACATGCCATATACCTAAATATTTAAAAGGTGTAAATCAAGCTAACAAGCTATTCCTGCCTCAGCAAATACACCTTCTTAAGTTTACTAGAATTCTTGGACTTCTCAAGCTTTTAAGTTTGGGCAAAGTGGGGAGAGCTGGTCTCAGAGAGCCCTCTGTGTCCCAACGCCATCCTCTCCCAAGAACAACCTACCCCGGCTCGTGTAGACACACCCCTTCCCAGCTCAGGCCTTTGCAATGTGCTCTCCAGCTTTCTGTCCACCCTCCTGGGGCAGACCAGGAAGGCTTGGAAGAAGTTCTCCAGGGGAGGAAGGGCATGTCCATGGGCCTTGTGGTCTTCTCACCCTGCAGGGAGGGACGTATGCTTTAGTGAGACCTTCACCTTCAAGCAAAGGGTCCAGAGTGGGTCCCTCTTGCCTGGATTTAAGGGAGATTTTCTATAAGATAAGTGTATAGTAAAATTTGGACCAAAAAAATCCAGACATGTCTTTATGAGGTTTTGTATGCCATCTTGTGGTATTTTTATGAACAGTTAAAATATGATACAAAAGGAAATTGAGATGCTGAAATACACAATAAAGAAAAAATACATTTTGAATAGTTTCCTGGTTTGAAAAGTTATTTTTAAATATCATGATTAACATTTCAAGTGTAAAATTTTCTTACATTACCATCTAAAAAAAAGTAAGATTTATAAAAGAAAACTTATTACATGTTTGGCTATGGGATTGATTCATATACTCAACATGTATTAAAGACCTACTGTGTCCCAGGTCCTGTTCTGGCACTGAGGTTACATTAGTGAGAGACAGAAATCCCTGCCCTCCTAGAGTTTACGTTCAATAGGGTGGTGGAATAGTGACCGGTAATTCATAATGACTGCATTTCTTTACTTACATCCAATCTTAAAGTCTCATTGATAGCCTTTTGCACAGACATCTTGTTAGGATCCCTACCTCAAGCTTTGAAAAGCATGAGTATTCTGTTCCACTTTTTTGACTGTGTAGAAAGTTGTAACGTTTCATTCAGAGGTCTAAAAAGGACTGGGTCACTTCCATTTGGAGTTTCTAATCATTATAATTAATAATTAAAAACCAAAATAAGCATTTAAAAAGCAAACTCGTTTCCTACGAATGCATTTATTTGAAAGGGAAATACTGGCTCTGTGTAGTGCTGCAGCTGATATTTAGCAGGCGAAGATCAGTTCAATGCCATCAAACTAAAAAGTATCTAAATTGGCAGTTTGCCCTGAGCTTGAGGCTTAAGGCAGATGATTCTTCTGCTTCTTCTAACCCTTCGACGTCCTCCTAACCTCCTTCCTTACTTCCTCACCCCCGTCCATGCCACCTCCTTTGTGTACCCACCCACAATCTTGTTTAAAAGTTAAGGAGCACTGGATCCAGGGGACTTCCTTTTCTGACCACGTCATTGTCCAAACTTTGAAGGTCCTTGTGAGGAGCAAACCATGAAGAGAGCCATTTCCTTGGCCTGCTGGGTAGCTGGAGGAGACCAAATAGCTGATGACAAGCTCACTCCTCTCCTCTACATCCCAATGAAGCTCACTCTCTTAGTTCTGAAAGAAGAAGCCCTAGAAATTGAAGTGGAGAAAGGAGGAGAAACCAAAGGAAAAGGACTCTGACTTCTCTCCTTCCCCTCTACCATTTTCATATGGTAGTGGAGAGAAAAATACAAAAAGATGGGTCTCTTCTTCCAATAGAATGTTTTCCTATTGCATAGTAATGTATATATCACAGTCTACAGTTTCTGGGCAGTATTTTATTCTCGGTTTTTGCTCTTTCCGTTTAGAATTCCATCCTGACAAATATACACATATATTATTCATTTTTCAATTTTATTTGGTAAATAAACAGTGATAAAATAATCATAGTGGTGGTTTATATGACTCAGTCACAGCCAGAAGCAAATCAGTGGCAAATCTTCCTAGGCTTTGAGAATAGGACTTAGAGTCAGTCCCCTATTAAGTCATACTGATCACAGACTATGTTTAATAATCACTCATTTTACCTGAGCTAGATAATGTGTTATGGGTTAAAGGGCTAATGGTTTCTTTTTATGTAACATGAAAAGGAATAAAATCCAGAACACATTAAAAAAAAAAAAAAAAGCCTATAACTCAACACACAAAAAGATAACTCAATTTAAAAATAGGCAAAGGACTTGATTATATATTCCTCCAAAGAAGATCTACAAATGGCCAATAAGCACATGAAAAGATACTCAACACCATTCGTCATTAGGGAAATGCAAATTAAAACCGCAATGAGATACTACTTCACATCGACTAGAATGGCTCTAACAAAAAAAAACCCAGAAAAATAACTAGTGTTGGTGAGAATGTGGAGAAGTTGGAAACCCTCGTACATTGCTGATAGGAGTGTAAAATCCTGTGGCCACTATGGAAAACAGTTTGGCTGTTCCTCAAAAAGCTAAACACAGAATTACCATATGACCCAGCAATTCCACTCCTAGGTATATACCCAAAGGAACTGAAAGCAGGGACTGAAATAGATACTTATACATCAACGTTTATAGTAGGATTATTCACAACAGCCAAAAGGTGGAAACAACTTAAGCGTCCATCAACAGATGAATGGATAACAAAATGTGGTATATACATACGGTAGAATATTTTTCGGCCATCAAACGAAACGAAGTTCTGAATGATGCTACAACATAATCGAACCTTGAAGACATTATGCTAAGTGAAATAAATCACACACAAAAGGACAAATATTGTATGATTTCACTTATATGAAACATCTAGACTAGGCAAATCATAGAGACAGAAAGTAGATTAGTGGTTACCAGGGCCTAGAGGAAGGGAAATTGGGAGTTAATTCTTAATGGTTGCAAATTTTCTGTTTGAAGTAATGAAGAGTTTTGGAACTAGATAGTGGTGATGGTTGCACAACATTGTGAATGTAATTAGTGTCACTACTGTACACTTCAAATGGTTAAAATGGCAACTTTTATGTTTTTTATATATATATTTATTTACCACAATTTTTAAGACAATGTAATATACCAAAAACTCTTGTTATTCACTTTAAAGAGGTGAATTGTATGGTATGTGAGTTATATCTCAATAGAGCTGTTTAAAAAAATTTGTGGGATGCAGCTCAAATTGTGCTTACAGGAAAATTCATGACTTACGCACTCCCATTGGAAAAAAATAAAGGTTATAAAGTAATGAGCTAAGTATCCAATTTAATGTGATATAAAAAGAACAAGTGAATAAGCCCAAAGAAAATAGATTTGAAATCATTAAGATAATAGAAATTAATGGAATAGAAAATAAACATAAAATGACCTGATGAACTGAACCAAAAGTTGCTTATTTGAAAACACTAATAAATTGAGACTAATCTAGCAAGCCTAATAAAAAAAATAAACCTAAAGAATTTATAAATAAACAATATTGTGATATAAAAAGCATCAGAACCACATATATGCAGATATTTAAAAGACAGAATATTACTTTATTCCAATAAGTTTAAAAGCTTAATAAAATGGATACATTCTAGATAAATTTAACCTGTAAAAGTGGTTCAAGAAAAGACAATAAGCCAGATGATTTCGTCAAACATTTATAACAAAATTTAAGGAATATCTAATTTTAATCTTACACAAATTATTCCTAGTGTAGAAACGGAGGAACACTCCTT